TATAAGAACCACAAATCTAAAGGCAAATGCTCAAAATGCACTGGTTGTTAAAAGCTCATTGTAGTAGAAAAAGAAAATGATGAAAAGCTCAACTGCTCATCAAGATGGGATGGATTAAATAAATTAGGACTCATCCATAAATGAGTTTTTATTTAGCCACTACAAAGAATGAGGAAATCTGCATATACTGATTTGGAATGTATGTCCACAAAAATATCATTAAGAGAATAAAAGCATATTATAGAGAATTATATAGCATGACCTTGGTTTTGATGAAAAAATTTTAATGATATTCATGTGTATGTACAAAGGTTCATGTATGTATTTGTGCTTTCATAAGCATAAAAACAATTAAGAATGATGCCCTGGTACACTATTAACAGTTATTGCCTCTGGGGAATAAGGCTGGAATAGTGAGTGAGCTTCTCACTTCTTTGTATACTTCAGAATAAATCCGGATGGTTCTGAGCTCTTTTTTTTTTTTTGAGAACTGGGGATTGAACTCAGGCCCTTGCACTTGCCAGGGAAGTGCTTATGTCACTGAGCCATCTCCCCAGCCCCTGGCCCTGAGCTCTTTATTTTACTTCAGCATTTTATTTCTCAAAATCCTGTAGTGAAAACTGTTTATTTAAATTGGAAAACAATTTAACTATGAAGAATCTAGAAATAAACCAAAACACAAGAAGCCATTTATAAGTTAATAAGGTAAAGCAGTGGAACTCTCTAGGCAAAAGCACAGGCAACAGTACAGAAAAAAAGGGAAGGGAGGAGAGGGGAGGGAAGGAGAGAGAGGGAGAAGGAGAGGGAAGAGAAAGGAAAGAAAGGGTGGGGTGGGAAGGGGAGGGAAAAAAGAGCAAAATTCCAATATCATTAGAGAAGCAACTGGGCATGTTTAGTTCTTCAAATATCAGCAATGACTGCGAACCAGGAGTGGGAACTTAAATACTACTCTGCGCAAAGTTGTGAATAATCCTGCTATGATCTGTAAAAGATCTGTAGATACTGTAGAGCCCACAGTAGGTCAAAGCAGACCCCAAGTCAGAGACGAGAGGCTGGAGATGCCATGTGCCCTTCGCATGATCATTTAAGGGATGAGTGCAAAATATTTTCATTCATATGGAAGATGAAATTCTTTGTATAATAAATTCTCTTTTTGGACTTGAATCAAGTCAACCATAACTGTTGTGTGCTAAGCAGTTACACTGGGCCAATTCTCTGCGTAGTGCTTTGTCTGTGTTACACCCTCCAAAAAACAGAATCACAGTACACATGCAGTACTACCCCTATTTTCCTTTTACAAGTGAAGACTTGGGATTTTGGTCAAATAACTGCCTGGACATCACCCTGGAGGTCAGTGGAAGAGCTAGGACTAAGCTCCTGACCTCATCTGTACTCATAATTTTCAACATCAGACTCCTGCACCTGTAGCAGCTTCAGATTTTAAAGAACATTTTAGCATTGTGAAAAGGAGACACACCATTCATAAATAATCATTACTATCTGATGAGAGGCATACACTACCTTACATAAAATCTTTATTACTCCAAGCTTAATTTCCAAGATAATTTAAAATTGATTCCTGACACTCTTGAGAATAAGTAGAACAGCAATTGGTACTGCAGCATTAAGCAACTATGTCAAATTAACATAATACAAAATTAATTCAATATTTAGGATAAGGAGGTGGTAGACACTTACCAAAATTCATAATCTTGATGTATAGGAATTAGCTTTTGGGTATCATAAATAGGGAGCACTGTTTTGGAGATTTCATTCCATATATTTCACTATACAAACACATTGTTGCATCTTCTTACAAATCATAACAATATCTAATAGCAAACAACTCAATCAGCTACTTCAATCATTGCAGAATATTCAGAAATTGACAAGTGATCTTATTTTCTAATAATTGAATGCAATTTTAGTTTACAGATGACAACCAGTTGGGAACAGCCACAGAAATCAGAGTGACAGATTGAGATTGATGAATGATAATAAGAATCTGCATACTGAGCATAGTGGTCTGGAAACTAGCGGCTCTATGATCTTGATTTGAGAGAAAAAGACAGATACCCAGAGTTCATTGGGAATCATATGGGAGTGGATTCCAAAGAAGGGACCCCAAATAGGGATCTGAGAGCTTTGAACAAGTCAGATCCAAGAGGGCTTGCCACAGAACCAGGCACCAGGATCTGAAGATGATAACCTGCTGGACCAAGTTTTATGGGACAACCATGGCACAGGGCAGAGAGCCAAGAGATATTTCGTATGTCTCCTGAGGTAGGCAGAGAGGCAAGGCTTTCCTAATTAAAGTTATCTAGGACTGAGATAAAAACATCTACACCTATGATTCTTTACACTTTTATGTCATAGAAGAATAGACTCCAGCAAAAAAGTACAAAATGATGCCAATGGTGGTATTGGTCTCTGGATTCCTCAAAGGACCTAGTTCTTCCTGCTTAGAGACCACATCCCTGAAGACATTTCTTTGTTTGGTGTGTGCCACATCTCCTGCCTGCCTTCTTCATTCATTCTCTGGATATAAACAGACTTCCCAAGAGATATCAAGAGGAATAAACTAATCAATACCTATACAAGTATTTATGGTGTTCCTGGTGCATTTAGCATACCACATTAGCCATTTTATCATTAAATGTGAAATTTTCTTAGATATTATGCCAACATCTCCCATGACTTCCTTGAACTCTATACATGGATCATATCACCAAAATGTACTTTCTTCTCACCCATCAGCACTGTGATTTTGCATTATATTCTAATATGATCTCCTAAAACCATCGAGTTGTCTCTTTCACCAGATATTCATCATGAGGGCCAACATTAACTCAAGACTTTGGTCCTAAGTTAAAACTAAAATTCCAGTCATAAAATTTAAAAATAACAAAGTAAAATTCTAGTCAAAATTCAAGTTGTTCATAGGTCAGGGTGGTTGTAACTGAAGGGTTCACTGTATCTCTAAAGTCTGTAAAATGAAAAATCCCAGTACTTGTCTGGAGTAATTTTTTTTTTTTTAACCCTGGATCGAACTCAAGGCCTTGTGCTTTCCAGGCAGGCACTTATACCACTGAGCTTTCTTCCTGGCCCTCCAGCACAGTATCTGTAACTGCTGAATTTATTTTGCATCCCCAGAAATATTTTCTCCCATTGCATTAGGTAGCTAGTTACATACATAGTAGTGCAGTCTGAATAGTTTTCAAAGTAATAAATGATATTGCTGTGAAACTGTTCCCAAATGAAAAGTTCTTGTCTGTTACAGCTGTGAGGCAACAGACTGTTTTCTTTGTTCATATTTTTTGTGGCTAAAGAACCCATCATCTGATGCAGTAGTAAAAACTTTTCTCAGTAGGTGGCTGAATCCTAGATTTGCCTCTCAGCAATAGTTCCTCAAAGCAGCTGATGAGTGAACAATTTCAAAAGAATTTTCAGCATACATTTTTGTTTATCCTCATGGTGAAGATGTCAGCCTGTGACCAGAGCAGTGTCCACAACTTCCCATTAGCATCAGAGGTGACATCTTCCTGAGTCACACCATAGGACCCATTCAAGAAATTATTTCTTGTAAAAATGTACCAAGCACTGACCTGTGTGAACAGTGGTTGTTCTTATTCTTCACGGACCCAATAACAATAAGAATTTTTCTATGGGCCCCATAAGTGTAGAGAGTAAATGAGACATTAGGTGGCTTGCTAAAATAGGAAAGATTTTTCCACTGTGGATGTTGACAGAGCAGCTAGTGGAATAAAGACTGGAGAAATATAATATGAATGAGAAATCTGAGGTAGCAGTACAGCTTTAACTACTGGGCAGATAATTTCCTACCCAAGCAAGATTAACCATAGCTACCTGCCTAGCTCTTCTTACATGGCCGTTATGTGTTCTTAATTTGGTTTTCTCATTGGCCCTCTAACAACAATAATGATAACAACAGAAACAATACCAGGTAACACTTACCAAGTCTCTACACTAGTCAGCTTTCTAGCACTATAGCAGATAGCCGAGGTAATTGACTTACAGAGAGAAAATTTGTATTTGGACTCACAATTTTAAAGGTTTCAGTTCATGATCAATGGGCCACCACAACAGATCATGGCTGGGCTCATGCAGTACAACAATGCTCACCTATCACGGCCAAGAAGCAAAAGATAAAGAGAGGAAGGAACTGGTGTTCCATGACTCCTTCTGATTGCATGAAACCTACCACTAAGACAACTTTGTGGAGCACCTTGTAAAAATCCTCTCAACTGTACCACACTGAGGCCTTTGACCTGTGGATCTCTGGAGAACATTCCAGATACAATCTGCAGCATACACTATGGACACTGCTGTATGCAACTATTTTATCACTATTATTTTATTTAACCTTATGACAATTCTTGGAAATAACCACTATTATTCTTTCCATCATTTCTGGAGCATTGAATTAGTTTCCCAAAGTCACACTATGATTTAAAATAAAATAAATGAAGGCTCAGGAAAACACTGGTCACTGAAGGAACCATTCAAACTTATCCAGATCTGTGTGGGTGGTGTGGCTCTTTCGTAGGTCTAAGAACAATATGAGTTGGGTGCTGCATGTTCAAGATGACCTGAAACCACAAGAATCTTAGATCACTCATGGGGACTTCCTTGTCATCTCCTATTAATCCTGCTACCCTGTAAAGTACCTCTTTGGATATAGCCGCAATAGATTTTAAAAAAGACCTGGATTGGGAAATAAGTGGAACTGTCTGGTGGGCTGCCACTCTGAACAATTTGCCTGTGCACTTGGCAAATGCCTTCAAGGCAGGCACAATCTAATTGTTCCTGTCTTTCATTGCCATCTTGAATAAAGAGAAACTTGGCATTGATTTCCATTCCGTTTTCAATACCCCCCACAAAAGCTTTTTCTTTTTTGGAAAAGAAAAGTGTCCACTTATCCCAATAAGCATGAATTGAGAAAATTATAATTTCTCAGAGGACTTTTATGTACTGGAACGATGTGTCAGAACTGGGCCCACAAGAACAAGGTACAGCACAGTATCACTGTGAACCAGAAGCAAGAAAATGGTGTATGTTGAGCCACTGAATAAGGCAGTAAGCCCCCTCCTCTTATTTTCAGGATTGGACCAAGGAGACAAAAATCTGGTGGTCCTGAAATTCTAGGCTATCCAAGGCCATGGAGTTGAGGGTACAATGAGATGTAACAGCTGACTCAAATGCTTTCTTTGTTAAGCTATGGTTCCCAATACCTCCAAGAAGTTTCTCCCAATAAGTAAATCTTCATCTGAGGCACCTCATTAGCTTTTTAGACTGGGGCTGTACTTTGGAAAGCAATTCAATGCCTTTTTCATTTTGGTCACTGCACAACATTTTTAACATTCTCTTTTTCTCTCTCTGTTTCCAGAGGCTACCCTTTAAAGACAGGCATTTCGCTTGCAGCAAAATGTAAGTACACTACCTCCTTGAAATGGCATCACCTTCTCAGCTGAAATTCCTAAAACCTCCTAATCTTTAAGGCTCCTAGCTCACATTGCTGCATTTTTAAAGTCTGATTCAACAAATCCAGTCAGTGAGAAGCCAATGTTTCACAATGCTGATTTGTATAACATCCTGGAGCATTTTAGAGTTTGGGGGAAGCAGATTGAAACTAATCGTGACTGTAACATTACATCTAAAACTTAGATACAATTGAGGAGGAAAGAATTCTTTTAGACATGATGATCACGTGACATCAAACACCTGAATATCCAGCATCTCCCAAAAGCTAGTTTATGACTCCTTGCCCATTTGGTCCTCACTGTGTAGTCACAGGCTGTTTTTTATTTAACAGTACTGTAGCTCCCTTAATAATTCCTTCATGTGTCTGCTGCATTATAGCTACTCTGTAAACTAGTGTTCCTTCTAAAACTAATCTCCTGTGTATTACGTTTCCTTACTCTTAGGCTCCCAGAGTCTACACACAAATCACAAATATGCTCTCTACATTAAAACCAAATAAAATCACAGCAGGTCTAAATTGGGAGTTCGGAGTATTTTGGATTTCTGCCTTTGAAATTAGGCTGTCAATGGAGATTTTACTTTTGTTTTTAATAAAATGAAGTTCAGAGTGATTTATCCTACTTATGCAAATGTAAATATATACACACATATTTATACCTATAAATATGTATATGTTTATTAAAGTTCCATCTATCTCTGGAATAATTTTATAATGTTAGGTGATAGACTTCGGGTTAGGATGAAGACACAGCTACTCAAAAGGTGATTAGTTGCTTGTCACTACCGATAAGTAGACCAATAGCCATCAGGTAGAAGGTTGAGCCAGGTAAATAACAGATGTCAACTCTCAACTCCTGATGCATAAAGGACTGCCAATAAATAATGTATCAAGCTGCCACTAGGGGCTAGCGGGTTAGCTCGGTTATCTAAAGCACCTGCTTGGGCAAAATCAGTCAGGAGCAAGGGACGGCAGTTCGATCCCCAGCTCCACCTGTCTTACCAGACCCACCCTTAAGGCAGCCTGAGCCAGCTTAAAAAAAAAAAAAAAAAAAAAAAAAATCGAGCAGCCACTGAATTCCTTAACTAGACATCCTCTAACCCATCACAATCCGAAGTTCTCCCTTGAATTATACTATTCTAATAAATTATCTTTTAATCATTCAATCCCCGAGAAAGTCATGCATTTTACTAAACTGCAAGAAAAATTTAGTTTTTACTGATTTCCCAGGATAAAGATTTTTGTTTGCTCTCTACAATAAATTGATCTCACTGCTATACATCAAGTATCCAGACATTAGCACAGGAGTCCTTCACTCTAAAAATCACTCAAATTTAATGTCAAAGTCTTATACATTCACTGGAATTTTTTTAAATATGAAGCTCTGTACTATGTTGCTTTGGCCTTTATTGCATTATCTAAACACCTGCATGGTATGAATGTTTAAGCATATTTTCCAAATAAAGCCATGTTAGATTTTATGAGCAGTCTCTCTTCTAGTGCTATCATGAGTATACTGCTTGCACAAATGTTGGCTTTTAAGTATATTCTTCATTTTTAACATTGAGTGCTGTTCATGGGACATGACATGTGTTTCTCTTTCTGCTCATTCATATTTGAGACTCTTAAGGCCAGCGAGATAGCTCAGTGGACTAAGTATCTGCTTAGGCAAGCACAGGGACCACAATTCGATCCCTGGCACCACATGCCATGCCGGCCACACCACGGGTGTGCTGAACTGGCCACCAAGACAGGGCGTGGTAGCACACACCTGTAATCCCAGTGCTGGGGAGGCTGAAAACAGGAGCATCACTATAAGTCTAAGCTACATAGTGAGACCCTGTATCAGATACATAAATTTTTTAAAAAGTCATATTTGAGACTCTTTATTATATTGTCACTGCCTACCTTCATTACCATTATAAGTAATTTATTGATATATACTAATTTAGGACTGGTATATAGTCATGATAAAAACTTGGGGAAAGTCAGTTAAAAGTAGCATTTTAAGTTATTATATGTAAACATGAGAACATAGATGATATGATCTCTTTACCAAAATTTCAGTTGAAAGCACTTTTTACCCCCAGACTGGAAAAACAAAAATGAAGGGCTATGATGTCTATTTCATCCTAGAAGGCTTGAATTGTGGTCATTTTACTTTACTCTTTCTTTTTCCTAAAGGACATAACAACATTTAGTGACCTATTGCACTAGTAAAAATTCTGAGATGTAAACTTACACTGGAATTTTACACTATCCAGACAAAATGGGTCTGTTGAACTCCCCAAGTCATCTGTAGGCAACTTGTGGAAGACTGATCTAATCCACAGAGACATGGAAATGCACTGAAGTCATTAGCCATACTTCTCAGCCTCTCTGGAGTTTGCTTCATGGCCAGATAGTGATTGCATTATACAACCAATACAATGAAAAACTACCTGATTGGCACTGCATGGAATGTGGGCTAGATCTATAGTGATGGACAAAGCTTCCTAAGCGAAGGTCTTGGAGTTGTCTGGGGAGCACATACAGTCCCAACCCCATAGAGGAAGAACAGATCAGGAAGACAGGCCCACAGAGAAATAGTAGTTGGACTGTGAAAGGAACTGGGGAGTAAAATCAGCAGGTTCATGCCTAAGCCCATGTTACTCCTTTGAAGACTTGTTACTAAGTCCCTCAGGCTCTAAGTTTCTGTAATATTAGAAATGGGAGAGGGGGCCGGGGAGATGGCTCAGTAGAATAAGTGCTTCCCTGGCAAGTGCAAGGGCCTGAGTTCAATCCCTGGTTCCACCAAAAAAAAAAAAAAAAAAAAGACATGGAAGAGCCCTTCTTTAAAGGGTTATGAGAATCACATACAATTACATTTGGGAAAGATTGTAGCATCTAAAAGTATTCTGTACCTATAAGGGATGATTAGGCTATTGGCTCTCCCTGCTTTATGGATGTCCCTGGCACCCTAATGACAAACTTTGGTCTTCAAAGTGAGTAATACACAATAGCAGATTTGCCTTAGTTACTCTTCTCTCATTGCTGGGACAAATACCTGACACCCAAAATGAAGGAAGGAAAGGTTTATTCAGCTTGCAGTCAGCAGAGGTTTCAGTCCACACTCAGCTGGCTCCAAGGCAGAGGTGGCACAGAGCAAACATTCATGGTGGCTGCAAAGGGCAGAGAGTGGCAAAGAGGGTCACAGCAGCTGAGGCATCTAGTTAGCCTCTCTCCTCTCCTTGCAGTGTAATGCAGAGGATCTGCCCCACGGCACTCACACCCATAATCCCAGCACTGGGTCAAGAATCAATCACAGGGCCTGCAAGATAGCTCAGCAGAAAGATGATCAATGGACCAAATGCCTGCTTAGGCAAGCACAGGGACCGTGATTTGATCCTTGGCATCACATACTGCACCAGCCCCACCCCTGGGTGTGCTGAGCCAGCCACTGAGACCAGGTTTGGTGGCACACACATGTAATCCCAGCACTTGGGATGCTAAAAACAGGAAGATCACTCAGAGTCCAGGCTGCATAGCAAGACCCTGCACCAAATACATAAATTAAAAAAAAAAAAAAAAAAGAATCACCAACTCCAGAAACAGCCCCAGGACTGCATGCAACTTTGGCAGAGGGAAACTTATACACAAACCATAACAAGATTGTAGACCCCCCACTGAGCAAAGTCCGTCTCCCCAAGACTTGCACATATTTTGCTTGGTTATTTGCAACTGCAAATATGCTTCAGGACCACTGCCTCTGGTGGAGGAGCACTGTTTTCTGGGTGGTATGGGTGAGAAAGTTGCCAAATAAACCTGAACTGTCCAGAGGCCTATAAAATGCGCAATTGCTTTTTAAGAGGCATGGTGATATTGTGTGTTCCTTTCAATTTTGGGCAGTGACGACTTTCTGCAATTTGTGGTTTTGCAATTTCTCTTTACACAGACAACACCCTGGCTCTCATTCAATGCCCCTTTGGTGGGGTTGAGGTAGGGAAAAGAGAAAGACACCCTGGAGCTCTAAGTGTCCCAGCAAAAAAAAAAAAAAAAAAAAAAGGATATGTTAATGAAATAAGTCAGAAAGAATGTTAGAGACTAGTGGAAGTAGGTTGGTTTGAAGGGAAGAAACAACTTTTAATAAATTGCACGGTGTGGCTAGGATTTTATCTGGGGCTTTCATCAGCTGGGCAGAGATTCACTCTCCTAGCTCTTCTTGCTTCTCCACTGAGCCTTGTCTGAGTTAAAACATCAGTCTCTTTTCATCTTTTTTCCTGTATTCAACAAGCCCAGAGTAGTTTCTTCCACTGGCTCCTCCAGGCCTCTTCTAGTGAGATTTTCTTTAAATATTCTGTCTCTAAGTGACCACTTGCCAATTACACTTACTCGGTTTGTGTGAATTAGCTCAAGTTCCATGTGCCAGAATTTTTGGTCTTGTTCAGATTGCTGGACTGGCCTTTGCAGGGGAGGTCTGTGGCCCCTGGGCAGTGCAGGGATGTAGCATTTATCTGAGCCACAGTGATTTGTTCTGTTTCTATTCATTGCCTCTGGAAAGACTTTGCAGACTTTTGTTTGCTTTCTTATGGCTGCTAGGCGCTGTGCTGAAGGATTTAAAGTTGCATCCAGGATTAACCTTGTATTCCTTCTCTGTTCACTTTTTATATCAAAACAGACCCCTGTTCTCCATGAAGTAGATTCCCTTGGCTGATGTCCACTGTTCATGGGCTTCCCATGAACAAAGGTTACATGTCTCTCCTCTGGTCACAATCTAAATGTCACTGCTTCTTGGTGAAATACGAAGAGAACTGCTACTCAAATGTTAATTATAGACCCTTACATTCTGCATGGGGTAAAATATGATCTTACGTTGTCTGTGTGTTCTAAACGTTTAGGGAATTGCTTCTGTTATGCAATCGTAAATCATGGGGTCTTGATTTTAGAAGATGCTTTCAATATGATGCAA